AGATTTGGTCATGCCTGATGAAGAGTTAATAATTGCAGGAAGGACCATTTGCTTTTCATATGCTGCTAAATGGACAGCCCAGCAAGTTTCTCCAGTCTTATTGCCCATGATTAGAGTCTTTACAAACATGCAAATTTTAGATCAATACCCAAAATACAAATGAAATAGCTGTAAACAACACAGTAAGGAATTTTAAAAAACTAACAATAAAGAGAGAGAGAGAATGATGCATCTATTTAATGATTAGTGTTATATGACAAGGGGGAAGTCTGTATGATGCCTAAGTCACTTCCCATTTACTGGGTCCTGTGCCCAGTAAGGGTTAAAAGCTGATGGGAGATTCCATTACTAACTGGGCAATGGTAAGGTAATGGCCATAGCTTGCCATTTAACCACCTTCATCAGCAACCCTTTCTCTAGACAATGGTTGTGAATCACCATCTTTTACATTTTTGTATGTGCTGTAAGCCACCCAGAGTGGCTGGGGAAACCCTGCCAGATGGACAGGGTATAATAATAATAATAATAATAATAATAATAATAATAATAATAAAACATCACAGTCTTTGCTGTTCCTCGCTCCAAGGGAAGCGGACCCTTGTTAAGCCCCTTGTACCCTTGGAGTACATCATCTATCAGAGCCTGGGCTTGGGTGTAACAATCGAATGGACAAGGATGAGGAAAGGGGGGTGTAAATATCAAAGTATCATTTCAGTAAAAACAAACACACACATGAAATGAACTGTAGTCCAGAAAGGTTTATAACATAGGTAATTGGCTCAACCAATAATGGATACATCCATGAAAACTAAACCAATACCAACAGATGATTCAGCCAAGCTACATGAAGTGGGGAGCAGGAAGGGGGAATCATTACTGTGTCTGACCATTTTAGGAATAATGTTCTTTACTTGCCAACGCTGTCAGGCACCTCAGGTTCCCTCCATCTGAATTGGCAAAAAGTGCAACATAGGGGGGAAAGAACTTTATTCCTGAAATTGCTCCTGTGAGGAACTACTAAGCATATAAGTGCACATAAACCTAGATGTGGAACAGGAGCTATGAATGAAAGAATGAATCTTTATTTGCACCAGCCATTGACTATAGCAATAAAACAACAATACGATATACAAAGAATAGAAATAAAAAGTCAATTATATAAAATACATTTTAGAGTTTTGAATCAATAGCCGAATAGTTGATCTTATTCTGATTGCCCATCTAAAAACCTTGCAACGTTTGCTATCACCTGCTCATCTTGATCTGAGAAAGGACACTGTGGTAGTGGTTGGGCGACCTGGAATGGACAATAAAAGAGGGGTGAGGAACTACTAAGCATATAGGTGCACATAAACCTAGATGTGGAACAGGAACTATTGTTATTATTATTATTTTTTAAAAAAACACCAATACATAAGAATAAAGTTTCACTGGATAACCCCCATCTCTATCCCCACTCCTTACTTCATCTGGTGTGTATTGCTCCAGCAAATGGAAGTCTTGTAAGAAACATGGATTTTCCAAGAAGACACTGTAGACAATTATTGAGTTCAGGTTCAGCCTACAGTTCCAAATCCCCATTGGGCAATTAATCAAGACAACACTTTTTAAAGTTTTGAGGTTAGAGCTTTCATCATCCAAAGCCTTTGAAAATAATTTGAGGCTGTACCAGTTTATCAGTTTCATAGGATCACTTGCAATATATGATGTAACCAGGTGATCCTCAACTAAGTCATGCACAAAGTAAACCCATTGACATCAATGGACTCCACAATACTATTTTGGTTCAATTCAAAATAAAGAAAGAAATGAGGCTTAGAAAAGGAAGGGCTTGGGGGTGGGGAGAAAGAGAGGCAGATCAGAGTGGGTAGGACTTTTTCAATTATGCAGTCTCCCTCGTGAAAGGTCGTGCAAGCACCCGAAGCAGTGATAGTTTTGATTCAGATAATAATATTTATTTATTAATTTCATAAAAATTATAGACTGCTTGATTGTAAAAAACAAACACTCAAAATATTTTACAAAAGAAAAAAAAGAGAAATTACCGCTATACTTTAAAACATACAGAAGTTACAATACTGAAATAGATTTAAATTATATAACAAATATATAATTCCCACAGTACATGTGACAAGAGAAAGGATTTAGAAAATCAAGAGAAAAACACACACATCACAATCCTCCGGCAGGATGCTCAAGTTTTCACCCTAATTTAAAAACATTATTTTGGAATTTCTGGGGCATTAAGCTATGAGTCAGTCTGCCAACAGACCTCCTAAAAGACTCTTTCACTTCTCTGTTCCTGAGACTGTATATCAGTGGATTGACCAGAGGGGTCAGAATGGTGTAAAAAGCAGAGAAGACTTTGTTTAGCTTTCTCATATTTTCAGTATTGGGCAGCACGTAGACTATGATGAGGGTGCCATAATAAATTGTAACCACGGCAAGGTGAGATGAGCATGTGGAGAAGGCCTTTTTCCTTCCAGTAGCAGATGGGATTCTCAGGATAGTGGTGATGATGAACATATATGATGTCAAAGTCAATAGAAAAGGAGGAAGGATGTAAATGACTGAAAATATGAAACCCATCAATTCAAATTTTTGTGCCTCCGTGCAAGCAATTCTTGCTACTGGGGTAAAGTCACAAAAGAAATGTTCAATTTCATTGGGGCCGCAGAACGTCAACCGTGTCATTGGGTACATCATTATTGACATTGCTAGAAACCCATTAATCCAAGACCCAGCTGCCATGTGAAGGCAGAGCCTGTTGTTCATTAGGGTTGCATAATGCAGGGGCTTACATATTGCTATGTATCTGTCATAAGACATCATAGCTAGGAGACTGCATTCAGTAACGATCAGAGAACTAAAGAAATAGAATTGTGTGATGCAGCCAGGGATGGAAATAGCTCTGTCTGCAGTCAGGGAACTGACAAGGACCTTGGGCAAGATGGTTGAACTGTAGAAGGTCTCCAAGCAAGACAGGTTAGCAAGGAAAAAGTACATGGGAGTGTGAAGGTTGTGGTTTGTCACAACTAATGCAACAATGAGGATGTTTCCAGTCATTGTAAGGATGTATATAGTTAGAAACAAGATGAAGAGGACAATCTGTAGGTCTTGAAAATCCCCAAATCCCTGGAGAATCAATTCTGTGATGATGGTTTGATTTCTCCCTTCTGCCATTGCCATCCTTCGTATCTAGGGGAAAATGTATTAAAATTCACTGAATTATTAATCATTATATACTGCTGCATACGGTACAATGACTATTAAGTATGGCTCTGCTAGGGATTATGTGGGTGATTCTCTTTTGCCAGATCTTTCCATATCTTATGTGTATTTTTTGAGACACAATAATCTGAAGGTTTAGTGTTACACATTTCACAACAGCATTACTCTTGTCAAAAGTCAGTGTATGCTTTTGTAATGGATACATATGCGCTCATTATCAAAGTGCAAATTTAACTTCCATTAATGGTGTTTTTCCTATATGGAGCAATGCAAAAACAAGTGTATGAGAATAACTTGCATTTCTACATCCCACATCATTCCATGATTATTGAGTAGGAACATTGTTTGTTGTCAGTGTTAATAAATGCAAAGAACAAGTAGTTTTCTATTCCAGTTTGAATGAATCAATAAAAACGTTGATACAAAAATAGAAGAGTGGGATGGGGATGGAAAGGAAGATATCTGTACAACTGCATGTCCAGTCTCTTCAGCTTAAGGCCACAATCCTACATGCATTTACCTAAGAGTAAGGCTTATTGAACTCAATAGATCTTACTTCTTAGTAGGTGTTTAGAGGATTGCATTGTAGTTCGTGTAGTTCTGGTGAAGTTCAGAAATTTAATTCAAGGAGTAAAACTAATCTTAGTTGTTTTTCTTTCTAGCAGCCAATGACAGCTGTCCTTAATTGAATATGTGGTGAGTGTATTAGTTTATAGTCT